AGATACAATATATATATATATATATATATATATATATATAATAATTTATGTGTGTGTGTAAATTAATACGAAAAGTCCTATGAATATCATGTTGTTTTTAAATTCTTTGCGTAATTAAAGAAATAAACGTTTTACATTCTATGTCTATATAACGTTTATGTTTTGTTTATTATTTAGGAAATGTATCTGAAATATTGTTACTTGGTTCAGATATATTCCATATTGTGAGCCACCATCATATCAATAAGTAGGTCAGTTGAATGGCTCTTTTAAGAGGTGTGTCTCGCGAAAAAAACAGCACAGCTGCAAAAAAATGACTTCAATTTGCTACAGCTTGAATATGAATTGTTCTTATAATTATACATTATTCTGCACTTTGTATAAAGTGAATTCATACATGTTTTTGTAATATACATATTTTAACATTTTTTAATTATTCAATTTTAAATAAAACAATTGGTCGCTCTATATGTACACAAGATTGACAATATAATTTGATACACATAAAAAACTCATCCGCTTTTAAAAGATCTTACGAGTATTCATCATTCTTTACAAAATATTCTAACATGTGTACGTACAATCCACGATCCGTAAATGATTGTAACACGTGAGTAATGAGTGCACGAAAGAGCGAGACGGTGACTGGTAATCTTACAAAGACAAGACAAAAAGTTTCCGGAAAACCATTATTTTATAAAATATATTTATTATAAAAATTACATTTGTAGATTATTTTTCTACATAGTCACACTCTATTTTTCAACATATTTCCTCAAACGCTGGGGCAACTTTTAGATTTGTAAAATAATTGTGTAAATAATTTTTTTCTTGATGAATAATTTGATTGTGCATTGTAACTTTCACATCATTATCATTATGAAATTTTTTCTTTGTAAGCCTTCTTTTAGTGAATCAAAAGCAGGATAATCCAACGATTGTGCGTAGTTGGAACTGCGGAAAATAAGATGAAATGCGCAACGAGACTTTACGTGAGTCGACGAGTTGAGAAGAATTGAGATTATCGGATCTTACAATTAGACTTCTCATAAAAATTATTATATTCTTGCACAGTATGACGAGTTCAAAATTTTTAATTTACAAAATAAAAGAGCTTGAAAATAACTATTTTTGTGCTGCTTAATTTTGTTTTGTAAAGTGGAGGC